CCTTGCTGCTGCCTTGGAACCTACAGATGATGATGCTCGTAGGGAGGTCAGCCTTGATAGCGCCCGGAACTTCCCTCCTAATGAGAGCCCTGAAAAGAAGCCCCGATTGGGAATAGGCACTTCCAAGATGCCTGCTCCTGCGTCCTCAGCTAGGTACCCGCATTTCGGTAAAGACAATGACCACTACCCGCCCCTTTTTCATGGCACAGGCGGTGCTGTTGTTTCGGACTTAGGACCTGCAGCTCCTGCCCGAGTACCTGAGGCACCCCCAGCCCCTCTACCTCAGGCCACACTCCCAGGACACACATCGCCAGGACATTCCGTGACGACCGTAGGGCCGGGTCCACTCCGCGCCCCTCAGGCACTGTCACCTGAACCGGTTCAGGTACTCCCAGAACGCTTCCATCTGGATGAGCCCTCTTGGGTTAATGGACTCAGGAGTGAGCTGCGTGAGTTGGTTACTACACAGAAAAGCATGGCAGTTCAGATGGAGGAATCAGGCCGCAACCTCAGACTTCTTCAGTCAGACATTCGCCACTTGGGGGCAGGCCAGGAAGGACTGGCACGCAGGGCTGATGCACAAGATACTGCACTTCAACAGATGAGAGAAGAGATGAAGGAGTTAGAGCGAGAGCTGGTTACTCTTAAGAGTGCCCCCCCATCTCGATCCACCAGCCCAGCCCCGAATCGCGGTGGGGCCAGCCCGAGACTTCAGGGGTCGCCTTCTGCGGGTGGCAACTCTGAGGTTGATGAACTCCAGATTGTGATTGGTGGGTGGAAGGAATGCAAACGAGAGCTCATCGAAGAAGACGTCAGAGAGATGTTCCATAGAATGGACGGGAACGCCTTGATCAAACGAGTATATGTGCCGTACGTTCGCTGTGGGTACTGTAGAGTAGAGTTGAATTACCCCGAGAATGATGTTTGGAAACAGAGAAAGCTACAGGGGATCATTGTGCTTGCGCTGAAGGACCTCAAATACACCTCGCCTGCGGACGGCCAACAGCATTGCAAGTTTTGGGCGGCAAGGAATAGGTCCATACAGGAGAGAGCCAAGATTCGTGCCATCCTTTCCACTTATGAGTTGTGTGTGCG